CAGGCGGTAGAGTCTTACCGCCTGTGACCGGAAGGTCCCGGGTTCGAGTCGCGGTCTCCTCGCATTGCACAGGCGAGGGTAAGGCTTGCCACTGACACCCTTCCCCAAACCCCGCACAGAGTGGAAGCTCTCTGCACTGGGTACGCCCTTTTTTGGGTTTTGTATTAGAGTCAGAATTTAACTGTGTTAATATAATTTTGACAAAAATCATGCAAATCAAGGAATCTGGGAATCCCAGAGCCTGATTCATTAACAAATACTCCCTCCGTTCCAGATTATAAGACATTTTGACTTTTCTAGATACATTGCTTTTACTATGCATTTAGACATAATGTATATATAAGTGCATAGCAAAAACTATGTATCTAAAAAAGCCAAAATGTCTTATAATTTGGAATGGAGAGAGTAGATTGCTAGAAGGCCATAAATAATTCCTTGAAATATTTACTGTGTACCTTTGCTGCTTTCTTGTTTTGCCGGAAACTTCCATGACTACAATTTATAGTCTGTTACTGATGTCATTTCTTGCACGAGTCTTCTGTAGATTTTATTGATAACTTTTGTATGGCAATTTTTTTGGCAGATGCAAGCGTAATTCTACCTATAGAATCTTGTGCTCCTGATCCATATTCTGTTCCAGTTTCTGATAAGTTCAAGCATGTGGATTATGATGACAATGAGGTGACATATTCTACTTATGTGCCCCAGTTGAATGAATCTGAGGAAGAGGATGGTTCTTCTGAGCTGGGTGTGTCTCAGTGGCACATGAAAGGTAAACGCAACAATCGTAATGCCACGAAGAGATTAGTGGATATGAGAGATGGAAATACATGGTTAAACAAATACAATGGACCATTAAAAGGGTCTTTGCATAACACAAATGGTGGGAATCCCAGAAAAGAAAGTATGCACACATCTGGTGAGCAGTTTTTTGAGGAAAGCTTTTACCAAATTAAGGAGGAGCCCAATTATGATTCTGAGGAAACTAATTTATTTGAGGACATGAGCCATTCAGAGGCTAACTTGTACTATGGTAAAAAATACCCTTCATCCTTGAGAACCACAAGAGATCTTATCCGAGGCTACAGTTACTTTAATGACTATGAGAATGACTCTTCAAATGTTTCTCCCCTAAATATGGATGCTGAACGGATATATCATGTTGATCGGAATGCATATTGGGATGGACCTTCATTTTACCAAAGGAAGTTGACTTCACGTTTTGGTGGCATGGGACCAATGTTGTTCAATGTTAACCTCAAAGTTCAGGCCAGCTACCAAGGAGAGCATGTCCCTCTTGTCTCCTTAATGAGCAGACTTAATGGCAAAGCAATTGTTGGACACCCTATCCAAATTGAAATAGTTGAAGATGGTTCCACAGATCATCTGGTATTCTGCGGTGACAGTGGTATGCAAGAGAGCACAGCTGCTCCACCTGCTTGGCCAACAGGTAGAAGAACTGCCATGCAAAGAGTTCCCCGTTCAAATCCATCAGGAGCACTGTTGGATGGCGATAATGAAGGTGGTCTTGTGTATTCTGATTATGAGATGAAACCAACCTTAAGAAAGTACTCATCTTCTTCGAATCACCAGGTTAAGGTGAATAAGAAAAGCAGTTCGAATGCTAGGAGGTCATCAGCTAAGTCCCATAAGAAGTCATCCAAGAAAACAAACCTTAGAGCTCTCTCTTCCATTTCCACTGCAAAAAAACACCATGGAGAAGGTGGCCGAGCAAAGGCACATTGGCATAATGACATATTTGGTGGTTTAATCAGATCAGAAGGAGCAGTTCCTCTAGTGACATGTGTCCCAACGAAGGTTGTGTTCACTAGGATATTGGAAGCAGTTGGCAGGCCACCTCCATCTGTCGCTCACCGTGTTAGAATGGCTAGTCCTTCAGTGCGAGATCCTCCGTAGGCTTCAACTGTAGTGCTACATACAGTTTATGTTGCCAGCCGTTGACATGCAAGTTTTATGTACATTCCTGTTAATTGAAGAGGCAGACCATTCAATCAGCCGGTAACACCTGTGAAGAGTCAGATTGATATGGTTGCTCCTTGATAACTTGGAACAGCTGATCTCTTATTAGCAGTGGTGACAGCCTGTAAAGATCATTAATGCTTGTGTATTTCTGACTGGAGACAGATCATGAATGCTTCAGAGCAGCTTGTGTATTTCTGACTGGAGACTGAGATCATGAATGCTTCAGAGCAGCTGAGCCATTGATACCATGAAGAGGTACTCTTTGGTGTAACTAGCACTGGTGACTGTCTTTTGGTTTCGTCACCCTGTAAAGTACTAACTTAAGCATTTTAGGTGTCAATTTAGTTAAAACATTTGTGTCATCATATATAGCAATAGGTCATAGGTTTCCTAATGTCATGTATAATCCCTCAATTATATCCTGATGTGTCTGTTATTTATTGTCGAGAAGTAGTTGATTCAACTGTATGTTTAGAAGCATGTGTATCTAGTCGATGTAATATATCAGAGCAAGTACTCCAACATCCCAATGGTGTAACAATCTAGTCATCCATGTGAAGTTTCCTCCATAGACATAGTGAACAAAAAGGGCCTGCTCGGCAAGCTGGCTGCAGCTGCGCTGAGCCTTACCATCTACCCTATCGTTATCTTATCGCACTCAATAAAATGCTGCATGACAGATTTTTATATAGTGATGCTTGTTGTAACGGAGCTGTAAATATTAGTGCCTGAAAAAAATCGTCGTGGCCACCTTGATCTGCATTGATAGCACTGTAAGCTCGATGGAACCATTGAGCTGATGCGCTGGAAACGCTGATCTTCGTCGTTCCAGGCTGACGGGGAGGTTACAATGGCCTTGTTTGTTATTATAGCTTTATTATAGGAAAACGCTTTGCAGAGAATCTGTACAAAAGAATTTTAGTGCACAATTTATGTACTGCGGGGGATGAGCTGTACAGATGAAAAGTACGCTGCGAAGCCTTTTATTTCTTTCAGAAACAATGATTCTATTGCTGCAATATATATATATATATATATACAACATCTAGATTAGAACGCTTGCAATATACGTTTAGAATAGATAAAATATTTTCAACAAACCTCTGAAGCACTTGCAACATACCTATGCAACATATCTCTAAAACGTCTGAAACACTTGAAGCATACGCTTTCATCTCAACATCTCCTTGTTGAGGTCGCGCATCGCGACGGCCATGGCGTTGACAGCGACCATGACCTTCTAGTGGGGAACAACGACGTCGGCAGCACCTCGGCGGCCACAGGGGACGAGGCACGACGATGAAGGGGGCGCGGCGCGGGATGGGGTGGGTGGCGAGGAAGACGGCAACCGCAAGCGCACGACGCAAAGCAGCACGTGATGGGTGAAAGCGATGGGGAGATATTTTTGAGAGAAGAGATGGGAGGCGCAAAGCGTAAGTAGGCCTGTTGGGCCGGTACGCACATGTCCAAAAAGCGGCGTCCGGACGGACGAACGCCCGCTCCTAAACATTACCTTTCGAGGAATCGCCGCCCACTGCCCACACAACACAGGGCAGAAGGCAGATCAAATCATTTGGCACATAAGCAAAGATCTGACAGTTTGAGCTACGTAGCCAAACAAACAATTGATGCCTTATTTAGTTCTCCTAAAGTTTACTCCATATCCCATCGAATGTTTGGACACATGCATTGAGTATTGAATATGGACTAAAAAATAATTAATTGCACAATTTGCGACTAATTTACGAGACGAATCTTTTAAGCCTAACTAGTCCATGATTTGACAATGCGGTGTTACAGTAACACATGTGCTAATGACGGCTTAATTATGCTTAATAAATTCGTCTCGCGGATTACTGACAGATTCTGTAATTTATTTTTTTATTAGTATCCAAACACCTCATGCGACATGCCACGTGACACCTGAGATGTGACACCCAAGACTTTATACGCTGATTTTAAACCAGGCCCGAAACAGCGCGAACCAAAAGCAAGCAGCAACAGCAGCCAACCCGTATGAATTTTTGACGATCTTTACCGAACCGTACGAGTTCAATTATCGGTCCAAGTAAGCTGGATCCATGAAAGCCTAGACCATAGACCGTTAGAGGGTTTGTCCCACGGCAGCCTCGACTCCATGAAAGCCTAAAGACCATAGACCGTTAGAGGGTGTGTCCTGCGGCAGCCTCGACGCGCTGCAGCTGTCTCCTGGATGTTGTGCCTGTCAAGGTTCAAAAATACGTTATTAAACGCCGTTTAATCGAGTTTAGTCGCTGAACGGTGGCCCAACGTCTCGTTTAGGGGTAGACGTTCAATTAGACGCTGAGCGGTCCTAGGCGCTCGTCTACACGTGTTGCAGCGAGTAAACGTCGCGGAATAGGAGAAAAAACGTCGCTGGGCGGTGGAAATCGCGCGCAGAAGAACGCGGGGGGGCGGGAAGTCGCGCGCGCAAGGAAAGGAACGGGGGCGGGAAATCGCGCTTTGCGCGCTGAAAAAAGAGCGGGCGCGCAAAATCACCAGCTAAGCGGCGCGGAAAGAACGAGAGAGGCATCGGGGCTTCGCCGCGTTGCCCGCATCTCGGCTCTCGCATTCTACCTCCTCCTCCCGCAGCCCGCCTCCTGCCGGCGAGCTCTTGCCTCATCGCCGATCCCGAGATTCGACGCAGAGGCCGACGGACGCCTGGCCCAAATCGCCGATCCCGACACAGAGGCCATAGTTGCTGCGTTCCGCTTCTCCACTGCAGAGGAGCAGCCACGCAGGGTCTCCACCGCACAAGCACAGCCCCTGCTCCTTCTCTCCAGTGCTCCATCGGTCTCTCCCATCTTCCCTTGCTATGTAGTATGCAATTTTGATTTGTGCATGTCAATCACTCAATTGATGAATTGGATTGGGGATTTAGGGTTAAGATTGAATGTGTATTAGTACTGCCTTTCGCCAAGTAGCTCCTTAGTCCTTATGATGGGTTCATCTTTGGTCCTTATTATGCCTTCTAATCCTGTTCTTGGATTGGGATTAGCATGGCAACGTCTGGCTTCAAATGCTGCTTTGAAATCGAGGCAGCGGCTCCAGAAGTCAATGAGGTTGACAACCACCTAAAGAGGAAATCATCTGATTCAAAGTGGTATGACTTACCTGATGTGAAGTCCAAGAAGGGCAAGGATGCTACAGCTACGGTGTTGAACATTAATTTTTGGAGAGATGTGTCCCTTTGTTTGAAGGTCTTTGAGCCCTTGGTGAAAGTGCTACGCTTAGTTGATGGGGATGTGAAGCCATCTATGGGTAATGTGTACGGAGAACTTCTCAAGGCAAAGAGGGAGATAAAGGAGGCATTTGGAAATGTGGAAAAGAACTACAAAGAAGTCATGGCTATTGTTGACAAGAAAACGAAGGGTAGGCTTGATTCTCCAACTCATGTGGCTGCATATATGTTGAATCCCTACTACAGTTATAGCAATGTAGCAATATTCTCTGATCCAACTGTGGTTGAAAAATTCATGCAATGTGTGGAAACCTTTTATTATGGTGATGATGATAAGGAATATAGGACTGTTAATGAGGACTTGGAGAAATTCCAAAAGAGACAAGTAAACTTCTCAAAAAAGATGGCAAAGAGCTGTGAACGCTTTGAGTTCAATCCGGGTAAGCTTTTGCATCAATTTTGTCCATATATTTCCTTCAATCAAATCTGTCCAGATTTTGTTGCAATCAATTCTGCACATATTTGATATATTTCACTTCATTTTGTAGCATCTTGGTGGAGGCTTTATGGAGGTGAAACACCAGATTTGCAAAGAATGGCTATTAGAATCCTCTCACTGACTTCTAGCACTTCTGGATGTGAAAGAAATTGGAGCACTTTTGAACAGGTCAATTTGTAGTCTACCAATTGCTCTTTATTCCTAATTTGGTGTGCAAGTGTTGATCAGCTTATGTGAATTTCATGGTTTTTGGTTTGTAATGTACAGCATCATACAAAGAGAAGGAATAGGTTGACAACAGAACGTCTCAACTCTCTAGTATTCATCCAATTCAATAATAAATTGATGTCCAAGAAGGAGAAGATCGCTAGAAAGAGTAACTATGAAGTGCTTCTAAGTAATGATGCTTCTGAAGCTCAAGGATTCTTCTTTGACGGCGGGGATGATCATGCATTGGTTGTGTTTAGAGATGAGGAAGATGAGGGAGAAATGCCGGGTACCGGGATGCCATGGAGTGTCCTTGGAGAAGCAATGGGAACTAATGAACAGCTTCAACCTCGTAGGAGTGCAAGAGTGGCTAGAGAGGTGGATGAAGAAGAGTGGGAATCTGAATCGGATGATCCTGATTATCAAGATGACATTGACTATGAAGATGAGGAGGATGAAGAAGCAATTCTAAACTCCACCACATTTGCGGAGTAAGGAGATTGCATTATGGCAGCATGCTGCCAAGTTATCTAGATATTAATATCTAACTATTTATCTTGAATTTGTGTGTGGACCATAAGACCATTATTATGTGATGTACTTCTATTTAATTTGTGGACCATTAAGGCAAGTGATGATCTGTTAGTGTTGTCTATATATTTTCCTGTGATCTTGTGACCTGTGCTGCTGATTGGCTGCTGCTCTGTTGTCTAGAAGCTTGGTTGTGCATGTACAATATTGAGCTGCCCCTCATAGATGAGTTTCTACTCTTTGCCTATCATTTGATTGTCTGGTTTTCAGATTATTAACTTGTCTCTCTTTCATGGTTAGTTGCTGTTGGATGCAAGAAGCCAAGGAGAAGAGGAAATTATGTCAACAACAAGTGTGCAGAAAGACCAAGATGTATGTTCATTACTCTAAATTATTACTGAGTACTATTTAGTATTTAGTATTTACTACTCATCTTGGTCTCAGCAGCACAAAAATATTAAAATAATTAAAAAACACAAACGATTAATCACGTTTAATCTACGTTTAATCTTCCTAGGCACTAGTCAGTAGGCTAGCGCCTGCCTAGCGCCTAGTGTTTTTTTGAACATTGGTGCCTGTACTGGCACAATCTTCCATAGTTTCATAAATCTGGATGTTACAAGTTACTCTCTCGGTCCATGGATTAATGTAATTCTCGTTTTTCGAGAAGTCAAACAATTTAAATTTTAACTAAATTTATATAAAAAAAATACTATCATTCATGATATAAAATAAGTATCATTGAATTCGTTATAGGATATATTTTCATAATAAATTTATTTGAAGACATAAACTGTCGGTGTTTCGAGTAAACACCAACGAGTAAATTTGTATTATTGCGCGTTTGGCCTGGATGGTGTGCTAAAAAACACAAGGTTTATACTTGTTCGGGCAGAATGTCCCTACGTCTAGTTTGCGGCTGCTGCTCATGTTATTGGCACTGAAAAATTCGTAGCAGGGGATACAAACCGGCGAGAGAGGGACATGTCCCAAGTCTCTGATGGAAAGGTCGAACGGGTGCTAAGAGCTTGGGAGCTGCTTAGCTGTGTGGTGTGATGTGTGTCGTGTTGAATCGATCGATCTCTTTAGAGGGGTGCCCTGCCTTCCCTTTTATAGACCAAGGGGAAGCAGGGATTACAGATGGGAGAAAGAAGAAAAACCAGAGGCGAAGGTCCTTCGAAGGTGCCGGGTCTTCTTTTTCCTCTGAGTGAGCCCTCCTGACACAGTTGACGGTGCTAGGAACAGCTCCAAGCTGGGTGCATGTCCGCTGATCCTGATAGGGCCGTGCTCTGGCTTTGTCAGCAAGTGGTCACATCCCATCCCTCCCCGGCGGGCGGCGCGATGGACCAGGGCGCTGAACCGTGACCCTACGGGGAGCAGACGGCTCAGTGACCCCACGTCCGTTACTGTAGATGATGTGAGTTTTCTCCTGGACCGTAGTGGTTGTCGTATGCTTCCGTCAGGATCCGTGCCCAAGGGCAAATACTGGCATCCATAACACTGTAAGACAAATGTCGGCGCCCACAACACTGTTCGGGCTTCTGACATGCCCGGAAGGGCTTAAAGCGTCTATCCTGTCATATCCTGACGGTACTTTCCTACAGACGTGCAGGGTATGGTCCTCGGTATTGTGGTTGACTTGAGTGCCCCCTCGTATCCGCGTGCGTAGTTATGAAGGAGCAGTGCGCAGTCGTCGGGCAAGGCGGAGCCTGCCTCCGGACATCGGACGAGGCGGAGCCTGCCCCGGGGGTCGGGCGAGACGGAGCCACCCTCCGGACGTCAGGCGAGGCGGAGCCAGCCCCGGACGTCAGGCGAGGCGGAGCCAGCCCTCGGACGTCGGGCCAGGTGGAGCCAGCCCCGGACGTCGAGCGAGGCGGAGTCCGCCCTCAGACGTCCGGCGAGGCGGAGCCAACCTTTGGGGGTCGGACGAGACGGAGTTAACCCTCGGTCGTTGGGCAAGAGGTGTAGTTGCTTTTTTGCCTGTTCAGAAGCATCAACGTTTGATGGTTATTAGCTCCTCCTCTTTACACTAGTGGAGGGACGGGCTTTACTCCCGGTGAAGAACCCCCTCTAGTCTCGGTTCCCCACCCGGGAGCAAGCATCCGGGACTAAAGGGGGTCCTTTAGTTTCGGGTCGGGAACCAGGACTAAAAGGGACCTTTAGTCCCGGTACATAACACCAACCGGGACTAAAGGTTGGAGGACTTTTAGTCCCGGTTGGTGGCTTCAACCGGGAGTAAAGGTCCACCTTTAGTCCCGGTTGGAGTCTCCAACCGGGACTAAAGGTCCCCTGCCACTGTGCCGAGCGCGGTAGCCGTTCGGTTGGTGTCTCCAACCAGGACTAAAGGTCCCCTGCCACTGTGCCGAGCGCAGTAGCCGTTGGGCAGGGACCTTTAGTCCCGGTTGGAGACACCAACCGGGACTAAAGGTCTCTCTAGTCCCGGGCGCAAAAAATGTCGGGACTAGAGTCTATTTTAGCCTCGGATGAAAGGTCTGTTCTCTACTAAGTACCCCAGTATTTGATCCCCGACATAAACATTAATACTATTTCCTATAAACTTGGACAAACTTGAACTATTTTGACCAGCACGAATCCTATAGTTGTATTCTTTCCTAAACGGAGGGAGTACTATCGTTCTGAATCATAAATTTAGGCCTTGTTTATTTCCTCCCCTAAAATTTACTCCCTATCTCATTGAATATTTGGACACATACATGGAGTATTAAATATTGACTAAAAATAACTAATTGTATAGTTTGCGACTAATTTGCGAGACGAATCTTTTAAGCCTAATTATTCCGTGATTTGACAACGGTTGCTACAGTAACGCATGTGCTAATGATAGATTAATTAGGTTTAATAAATTTATCTCGTGGATCACCGACGGATTATATAATTTGTTTTTTATTAGTTTTAAACAATCCAGACGACACCCTCGTATGACCCCAGCGTTCGTCGCACTGCACACTACGGAACCTAAGCTTCAATCGCAAGATAGTATTACAGTGTTCTCGTGTCCACAGGTTTAGGCCCCGTTTTGATGCGAAAATTTTTGGCTTTTGGCTACTGTAGCACTTTTGTTTGTATTTGACAAAAATTATCCAATTATGGACTATTTAGACTTAAAAGATTCGTCTCGCCAATTACGGACAAACTGTGCAATTAGTTATTCTTTTTACCTATATTTAATGCTCCATGCATGTGCCGCAAGATTTGATGTGACGGAAAATCTTGAAAAATTTTGGATTTTGGGTGGGATGTAAACAGGGCCTTAGGCGTTTAGCATTTTCCCTGGCCGACGGCACATAGGACACCCCAAGTCAACTTGCCCTGGCGTTCTTCACAAAGTCAATCTCCGTCACAAAGTCAACATACACGCTTGGCGTGATGCCACCCTCCTTCCCAACCACTTAACATGACCAAGGCCAACCCCTCTCAACTCGTCACTGGCCCATGAAGCGAACAGCTCAGCACGACGCGGGCGACGACGACGACAACCGCAGCGCTCGCAACCCGTCCGTCAGAGTCTCCTCTGGTCTCGTAGCCATGAACCAAGCTGCGGCACCCCACAACGACAACGACCGGCGCCGCATCCCCCGCGTCATCCGCAACGCCGTCGACGGCGCGTGGGAGCGGCCTCCCCACCACGCTGGCTACAGCCCGGCCGTGCCCGTCCAGATGGCCGGCGCCCACCGCTGGGCGCGCTACGACGACGTCGTGGCCGCGCTGCGCTCCCTCGCCAACTCAAGCCTCCTCGAGCAGGAGGCCCGCGAGCACGCGAGGGCGACCATTCGGGGCCTGTACCAGCACCCGGCGCCGTTCGACACCGACGTCCGCTTCCCCGAGGCGGAGCTCTTCCTGTCCGTCGACCACGGCACGTTCGGGCAGTGCATGAACCGCATCCTGAAGGCGCTGCTGCAAGTGGAGGCGGCCACCAAGGGGTATCTCTCGCAGCGCACCGTCACCGCGTGCGAGTCCTTCATGGAAGCTGTCAATTACGCGGCCGGAACGGCGACTTTGGTGTGGCCGGAGGAGCCCTGGAAGCCTGTGCTGTATGACCGGGCTGTTTTCGAGGAGGCTTTCCAGCTGGCCTGGACTGACGCGTGAGCCATCAGATGGTCTACTTTCACGCGATGTGCTAAAATCTGCCGATTTCATGCTTTGGTACGCGCATCAGCAGTTTCCAAGTTTCAATTGTTTGTTGAGTTTGCTTATACTTGAAATAAGTGTTGTGACCAAAACTCCAATCAGGGGCGGCGATATGCCGATAACTGTGTATGATTTGCATGCTGTTGTGACCAAAACTCCAATTAGGGATGGCGATACGCGGATACCTGTGTATGATTTGCATATGCCACCTGTCACGATTACCTTGGTATTTTCACAAGTCAACTTGAAACACAATAATAATATAGTCACTAATGTTTATATAGGATTCTTGTAATCGTGCGTCATTATCCCTCCTCCCCTCCAAGTAACTTTGCTCTGTCGCCTACTCTGCCAGCTGCTAATTTTGTTGTATTCATAGTCATTGCGGTCGTTGTTAGACATCACCAAAGTAGCAAATGTGAGTACAGAGGAAGTCCTCCTCACTAGGAACATGGGGCGCTTCGCCTCACCTTGGTATCTTCTTCCTCTAATGCATCATGTTTGGATCACGACCTTAAACTAGTTGTCAGTGAGGCAGCGATCCGATCCCAGCCGCCAGTGGCTGAAAATCGACAGCCTAGGTTGCCGTCTGGTCAGGCAGCATTGCCTGGACACACAACCAAACAGGGCAGAGTCTTCCTGATCTCTATCTCCCTGAAGCTCTGCACCACCAGCAGGTACAGAGTTCCAAGTAACTGACAGCAAAGCAAGAGACGTCGAATTACTTTACTTGCCCTTATCACTATTGAGGGTGTCCAGAAGGCCTTGCAATATTCTCCTGTACATGTTATCCGTTTCAGGAACTCCGAATCAAG